ACAGAATAGGGCGATAGTTTGAGGGGTCAGAATGTTCTCCAGTGTTCTTAAAAACAGGAACTACAGAGGAGGACATCCAACAAGCTGGATAACAGAAAGCAGCAAGACAATAGTTGTAAAGTTTGGAGAGAAATGGAGCCAGCTCTTGAGCACATTTCTTTAGGACGACGGTTCATATGCTGTCACCTCCAACAGTCTTATGGAATTCTAATTTAGAAATGATGTTCAAGACCAGTGACAGGATTATGCGCATATCACTCAGTACAGCCACAGTTCTAGGAGGAAAATCCGGTGTGGGTAATCCAGATAAGTCGAGTGTTGAGTTGGAAGAGAATGTCCGAGCAAAGCATTCCACCGTATCTTCTGTAAACGCCAGGACTTCGCATTGATTAAATAGGGAAGAGATTGAGTATTAGCTGTAGTTCATCACACTATTGCAGAGCCGCCAATAATCTCTGGAAACAGAAGAATTGATTCCTATGGGCTATAGCGGCAGAGCCTGCAGGCGGGAGGTAATAGCTTGTAAATTTTAATACCTCCAAAACTAAACTGCTCTGATCTAACCACTATAGAGAAACTTCCCTAACCGTGATCAGCATGGCTTACCGGGAGAGCGTGTCACCGCGCCTTCTTGGCCTCACGTTTTCAACTGAAGAAGTGGAGCAATTACATTGAATCAATAGCCGCATCTACTGCAAGGAAAGTTGGAGATGAACAGAGTTTAACTTGGTATTTCCTTGCTGGAATGAAATCATCAATGTCAGCTTTCATCCAATAAATCCAGGAAATAACGGAATGAGCCCCAATCTGTGCGTTGATAACAGAAAGATATTCTTCTGGTAGGAGGTTCTTCCTGGTTTGGGAGAGGAAGGAGATACTTAGAGACATAACCGCATAATCAGAGCTGCCAAGAAGGCTGAGCTGTGTAGTACGACAAGGGTCAGGGATAGAGATAAGGAAGTGATCGAGAAGAGAAGCGTGTCCGTCACGGTTACTGGGGAAACTTGCGCGAGTAAGAAGTCAAGGGTTTGGATGCCAGCGAAGTCAGTATCAGAGTTTTTAAGCAACCTGGAATGGTAGATATTATAGTAACCGAACACATATTTGGAAACGGAAATACTTTCACCCAGGAGGAGACTACAGGCGCGCATTCTTGAACAGGATGATTAAAAACTTCGTTCCATGGCACGTTACAAAGAATCATACCTACTGAATCAATAGCTTCACCTACCGCAAGGATAGTTGTTTCTCTATGTCGGGCCAGAAAGTTTTTTCCAGTCATCCTTCAAATTTATCAATCAACCATCCGTCTTTGCATTGAATATTGCTGCCATATATGGTCTGGTGGCCTCGCTGTACGTCTCGAGGTCCTCGACAAAATCCAGAAACGAATATGCAATGTGATAGATCCTGATCTGGCATCTCGTCTATAGTCAATTCCTCACAGCTTCCCTCTGTCTCTTCTACAAGTATTTTCACGGCAAGAGTTCCGACGAATTGCAATTCTTTTGGTTCCCAGACTGCATGAATTTAAGCGTGCTACTAGGGTGGCATCTCGGTCCCACCCTTTCATTGTCGAAACGGTTAAATGGAGCCGTCTACTTTACTCAAGCCGCTTCTTCTCTCGTACTATCCGTCTGTGGATTTCTCTTCCTCTTACTTGCTTCCCCGATTACTATAATCTTCAAATATTCAAGTGTAGTGTCAATAGATATAGAAATACTATGACATTGCTAAAGCTATCAGATCCTCGTACGTCGAACCCGACGGATGGGAGAGTCCATTATATATATTACTTAAACGACACCTGATAATGTACGAGAAATGTGAAAAAATATACAAAATAAATAATACTTCGAATATAAAGGGTGCGGCAAAAGACGACACCCATAGGGATAATTTATTAAAAATGTATAATTACACATGGAAATTTTATTTACTAGTTTTTTTTAATTGTTATATGTGCTGTTCAAAATGTTCATAATTCTTTTTCAAAGCGCATTTCAATTCTATGCCAGCATGATTCATAAATATGTCGGAGAGAGTCCTCTGACATTTTACGACATTTATATTTAATTATTTCTTTAAGTTCTTCAATATTTCTTCAGCGCATCTGATAGACAACTGATTTCAAATGGCCTCACAGAAAAAACAAATCCAAAGGTGTGCGGTCTGCTGACCTCGGTGGCCACCCGACAAGACCTCTTTGACCTATCCATTAACTCCTATGGTATGAGACTTTTATCTCACTTTGTACATATTGTTGATTATTAGGTGTATGAAGGTACCGCCTTTTTAAGTACCATATATATATATATATATATATATATATATATATATATATATATATATATATATATATATATATATATATATATATTCATACGTTTCATTAAATAATATAGATAAGTGTTGTCTATCTATTTTATGTAAATTTTTTGGTAACGTCTGATAAGTTTAATACAGTGTAACCCGGATATAAGAGACCCGGATATAAGAGAAACCCGGATATAAAAGAGATTTTCTCTGGTCCCAAATTAGAGCCTGTGTTAATGTATATAAAATAGACCAAACCTGGATATAAGAGAAACCCGGATATAAGAGACTTCTTTTTCGGTCCCGACAACTCTCTTATATCCGGGTTACACTGTAACATTATCGTTGAACGAAGAAAGAAATTCACAATATTGATCCATATTTTTTTTAATACAATTTAAGCTTTCGGCTTACATAAGCCATTATCAAAGATGTCAATGACAACATATTACGCAATATACGGACATGATAGTCTGTCATTGTTTACATAGATGATTTCTAAGCAACGATAAACACGCGTATATAAGACGCTAGAAGCGAAAATTGCACCGCATCTCATGACGTCACACATGACCACACGCGAGTTAATTTGAGAAGTATGGAAAGCCGTTCGTATAAACCAATGGCTTCTGTTACCTATTATAGAAATTTAAGAATATTTGTAGTAATAATAATATATAAAGTGTTTGTGTGTCCACAAATTCTTCTGACATTTTCAAAACGTCATTGCTAACAACTTAGAGGAGGTGGCAATGAAATGTTTGTTGCCTATTAATATAAAATTATTTAATATATAATATTAATTTCCACGTCCATGTGAAATTCAAGAACTCGTTTCTTTTATGCTCTAAGACAGGGGTCGGCAATCTACGGCAAGCAATTTCCAATGTCACGCAGCTGCAAATGACATCACGAAGTACGAACCAATAACTACTACAACACAAAGAAGATATTTACCTGTTTCAATTTTAATATATACTAAAGTATATATATATATATACTGTATATGACTATATAAAATATATTGTAGAACAGGTATATTGACCTTGACTTGTATAAAAAATACGTATGCTGTTGGCATGCTGAATAATTTTAAAACCTTAAGTCGCTGACCCCCGCTCTAACAGACTGAGAGATCAAAGAGCTAACTTCGACAGTTTTGGAAGTTTCTATCCTTAAAAATAAAATTAAATAAAAAACGAAGAATATTCTTGGTTTAAAATACCTTCCCAAAAGAAGCGTGTCCAATTTCTGTTTGCTTGGACAAAGTAGCGTTTGTTTTAGTTGAGCAATCTCGGTAAAACTTAAGTATAAAGGAAATTCAAATGGAATTTGCAAATTAATTTTAGCCCATTTTCTCACTAAACTGCGATAGATAGATAGATAGATAGATAGATGATAGATAGATAGATAGATATGATAAAATTTGAGATAGATAGATGAGATAGATAGATAGATAGATATGAAAAAAAAGTGAGCTCAATAGATAGACAGACATGAAAAGAGTGAGCTATAGATATTATATATATATATATATATATATATATATATATATATATATAGAGAGAGAGAGAGAGAGAGAGACAGACAGACAGACAGACAGATAGATAGATAGATAGATAGATAGATAGATAGATAGATATGAAAAGAGTGATCTAGCTAGCAAGATAGATATGAAAAAGTGAACTAAATAGTTAGATAGATAGACATGAAAAGAGTGAGCAATATATATATATATATATATATATATATATATATATATATATATATATATATATATATATATTGAACAATAAGAAAATAAAAAATTAAAATCTTTAGACACACTGGGTTTGTAGATTAATATTCTTTCGTTTTTTTTAAATTATTATTCCATTTAGATTCCTCGACTAGTTTCGACCGAAATGGCCATCATCGGGAGGAGAAATATTTCTGCTTGCTGGTATATATATATTCCCCAATTCCTTTTGTACATTTTTCTGTGTTAATTTTAAATCTCCCGTTGAAGCCTGAAGAGACAGATAGATAGATAGATAGATAGATAGATAGATAGATAGATAGATAGATAGATAGATAGATAGATATGAAAAGAGTGAACTAGCTTCCTGATTCGTTGCTTTGTTGAACTAAAACAAAAAGAAGACCGTAATTAGGTCTGTCGGCAAGGAGATACTTGATGTGTCTGCAGCCTACCCCGAAAATCATTTGCCCCTAACCCTTTGAAATTAATTTGAGCTAAAGTCACTAAGATCAGACCAAAATGAAGTATTGCTACCTCTCTTTCCAGTCTAGCGACGGGTCTGTCCATTATTATACGAATCGAAATCATGAGCAATGTCTTTTGAAAAACGAAAAAAAAATATAAAGACTCGCTATAAAACCAAGCCGCAGTGGGTGTTTTCCCTGAGAACTCGGTGCGCTAAGCCGTTTATTGCTATTATGTTTGTAATAAATTGGATAGTAAATAGATTTTTGACGAACAAAGAGCTTGTTTTGGTGGTTCGTGTCTGTTAGGCAGATGCTGAATAGACCTCGACTGCCGTACGTTCGGTCATTTTATATCGTCTCTCAAATAACAAAACTAATGTTGTGGACTTCCTTTTGATGTCGAAATAAAAATGAATAAATAACAGCGGACCAAGTTGATTACATAAGAAAATAATGGAGGAAAATCAACCAATTTAATGTCACGGGTGATAAACACGATTGCATATCCACCAATCTATTTACCTAGTTAGCTAGGAAGATAGATAAAACTGTGAGATAGATAGATAGATAGATAGATAGATAGATAGGAAAACAGATAGATAGATAAAGTACCTATCTACTCTATTCATATCTATATGTATATATATATATATATATATATATATATATATATATATATATATATATATATATATATAGCTGACTCTTTTTTCATCTATCTAGCTAGCTGGCTCACTCTTTGCATATCTATCTATCTAGCTAACTAGCTATCTACCTAGATAGATAGCTCACTCTTTTTATATATATCTATCTCACTCTTTTCATATCTATCTATCTATCTATCTATATCTATCTATCTATCTATCTATCTATCTATCTATCTATCATACTGTTATCATATCTATCTCCTTTATAATATCTATCTTTCTATCTAACTCGTTTCATATCTGTCTATCTATTTTCACAGCTATCTTCCTCACTCCCCATCTGTCTATCTCTGTCTGTTTTCTCTCTCTATCTATCTATTTTCACAGCTATCTTCCTCCTCCCCATCTGTCTATCTCTGTCTGTTTCTCTCTCTCTCTCTCTGTCTATCTATTTCACAGCTCCCCATCTGTCTATCTCTGTCTGTTTCTCTCTCTCTCTCTGTCTATCTATTTTCACAGCTATCTTCCTCACTCCCCATCTGTCTATCTCTGTCTGTTTCTCTCTCTCTCTCTGTCTATCTATTTTCACAGCTATCTCCCTCACTCCCCATCTGTCTATCTCTGTCTGTTTCTCTCTCTCTCTCTCTCTGTCTATCTATTTAACTAGCTATCTTCCCCTCCTCCTCATCTGTCTATCTCTGTCTGTTTCTCTCTCTCTCTGTCTATCTATTTTCACAGCTATCTTCCTCCTCCCCATCTGTCTATCTGTCTGTTTCTCTCTCTCTCTCTCTGTCTATCTATTTTCTCCCCATCTGTCTATGTTTCTCTCTCTCTCTCTCTATCTATTTTCACAGCTATCTTCGTCCTCCTCATCTGTCTATCTCTGTCTGTTTTCTCTCTCTCTCTGTCTATCTATTTTCACAGCTATCTTCTCCCCATCTGTCTATCTCTGTCTGTTTTCTCTCTCTCTCTGCCTATCTATTTTCATCTTCCTCACTCCCCATCTGTCTATCTCTGTCTGTTTCTCTCTCTCTCTCTCTGTCTATCTATTTTCACAGCTATCTTCCTCACTCCCCATCTGTCTATCTCTGTCTGTTTCTCTCTCTCTCTCTCTGTCTATCTATTTTCACAGCTATCTTCCTCACTCCCCATCTGTCTATCTCTGTCTGTTTCTCTCTCTCTCTCTGTCTATCTATTTTCTATCTTCCTCACTCCCCATCTGTCTATCTCTGTCTGTTTTCTCTCTCTCTCTCTGCCTATCTATTTTTAGCTATCTATCTTCCTCACTCCCCATCTGTCTATCTCTGTCTGTTTTCTCTCTCTCTCTCTGTCTATCTATTTTCAGCTATCTTCCTCACTCCCCATCTGTCTATCTCTGTCTGTTTCTCTCTCTCTCTCTCTCTCTGTCTATCTATTTTTCACAGCTATCTTCCTCCTCCCCATCTGTCTATCTCTGTCTGTTTCTCTCTCTCTCTCTATCTATTTTCACAGCTATCTTCGTCCTCCTCATCTGTCTATCTCTGTCTATCTCTCTCTCTCTCTCAGTCTATCTATTTTCACAGCTATCTTCCTCCTCCCCATCTGTCTATCTCTGTCTGTTTCTCTCTCTCTCTGCCTATCTATTTTCACAGCTATCTTCCTCACTCCCCATCTGTCTATCTCTGTCTGTTTCTCTCTCTCTCTCTGCCTATCTATTTTCACAGCTATCTTCCTCACTCCCCATCTGTCTATCTCTGTCTGTTTCTCTCTCTCTCTCTCTGTCTATCTATTTTCTATCTTCCTCTCCCCATCTGTCTATCTCTGTCTGTTTCTCTCTCTCTCTCTCTGTCTATCTATTTTCACAGCTATCTTCCTCTCCCCATCTGTCTATCTCTGTCTGTTTCTCTCTCTCTCTCTCTCTATCTATTTTCACAGCTATCTTCCTCACTCCTCATCTGTCTATCTCTGTCTGTTTCTCTCTCTCTCTCTGTCTATCTATTTTCACAGCTATCTTCCTCACTCCCCATCTGTCTATCTCTGTCTGTTTCTCTCTCTCTCTCTCTGTCTATCTATTTTCACAGCTATCTTCCTCACTCCCCATCTGTCTATCTCTGTCTGTTTTCTCTCTCTCTCTGTCTATCTATTTTCAGCTATCTTCCTCACTCCCCCATCTGTCTATCTCTGTCTGTTTCTCTCTCTCTCTCTGTCTATCTATTTTCACAGCTAATCTTCCTCCTCCCCATCTGTCTATCTCTGTCTGTTTCTCTCTCTCTCTCTGTCTATCTATTTTCACAGCTATCTTCCTCACTCCCCATCTGTCTATCTCTGTCTGTTTCTCTCTCTCTCTCTGTCTATCTATTTTCACAGCTATCTTCCTCACTCCCCATCTGTCTATCTCTGTCTGTTTCTCTCTCTCTGTCTATCTATTTTCACAGCTATCTTCCTCACTCCCCATCTGTCTATCTCTGTCTGTTTCTCTCTCTCTCTCTCTGTCTATCTATTTTCACAGCTATCTTCCTCACTCCCCATCTGTCTATCTCTGTCTGTTTCTCTCTCTCTCTCTCTCTCTATCTATTTTCACAGCTATCTCCCTCACTCCCCATCTGTCTATCTCTGTCTGTTTCTCTCTCTCTCTCTGTCTATCTATTTTCACAGCTATCTTCGTCACTCCTCAAATCGCTCTCTGTCTGTCTGTCTGTCTGTCTCTCTCTCTCTCTATATATATATATGTGTGTGTGTGTTTCATTAAAATCGTCAGACAAGTTACTACGATTAACTTTTTTATTTAATTTTTCTTTTGTTCGTACAAGTGTTTTCTATTTTGTACACAGAGTGTGTAAGATAAGAAAAAATAAATAAATAGCTTATTCTTAGTCTTTGATGACGCCTAATCTGTCGTCTTTAATGAAACATGTATAAATGAAGGATTGCTGCCTAAATACATAATTATCAAATTACACGATCCAGCAGCCAACAGGGAAAATAACACCACTACATGTAGGAAAAAAAACATATCTTACACACTCTGTGTCCACAAAAGAAAACACTTGTTCGAACGCTAGAAAAATTAAATAAAATTTCTTTGTCTGTGGTCTTTAATGAAAAATGTATAAATGAAGGAATGCTGCTGAATGAATATATATATATATATATATATATATATATATATATATATATATATATATATATATATAAAGAAATATAGTCTTCAGGTATGCTATATTTATGGAATAAAGTGCTCAATATCACAGATAGAGCGTGTAAATATATAAAAGTGAACATAGAAGGCCTGACGATTGCATATAGCATGAAACAGACTGTCGCCTCTAAGTGTTGACTTCTATGTTCACTTTTATATATATATATATATATATATATATATATATATATATATATATATATATATATATATATATATATATGTATTTTCCTGCTGTTTTCTTCGCCTTCATCTTATTACCATTTACAAATGATGGTAGCAATTAAAGTGATACTTTGGGTCTTGTGTGTCCGTCTTCACTTATTTCATGTGAGTCAACGCCCACCATCTTCGTCGAACAAACAACAACAGCAAAAAAAAAAAAAACAAAAACAAAAAAAAACAATGTTCTTTTCACTAACAAACATTGGAGTAAATAACAAGTAAAAAAAAACCCTCCCCACACATAATTACCGCGTGTTTCCCCTACAAATATTTACATTTCTTTACAAGCAATCAAATCTTCCTTTTCAGTGATGAAGCTATTTTACTTGCTCATTTGCAAATCTTAAATTTATTTTTTGCACTGTTTCTCACTGATTTAAAATTATCACTTTCTAATTTTCATTTCCTATAAAATGTTCCTCGTTGACCACAGTGTATGGCTCTCCTCAATTTCTACATCCCTGTCATTCCGATACTCTTATTTATCTGTGAGGAAATTGATCGGAATTCTTTGTCCTGTAGGAAGATAGATAAGACATAAACATTCAGTATACGTTACTATTAACGACTATTTTGTTATTCCAATTCGCTTTCGAATTTCGGTGTCACACATTTTTCACTCGTCAGTTAAAACTCTAGTCAGATTTGGTTTGGTTTGTTTTACGGCATATCAACCACAATGCGTTATTTTATGCCGACAACATTTTTTATTGCTGGTAATATTTTTTATCTATCTATCTATCTATCTATCTATCTATCTATCTATCTATCTATCTATCTATCTATCTATCTATCTCATTATATATTGGTTTGGTTTGCTTTGTTTTACGGCATATCAACACCTCAACGGGTTATTTAATGCTGACAAGATTGCTGGTAATAATATCTATCTATCTATCTATCTATCTATCTATCTATCTATCTATCTATCTATCTATCTATCTATTTCATTAAGTATTTGTTTGGTTTGGTTTGTTTTACGGCATATCAGCCACAATGGGTTATTTAATGCCGACAAAATTTCCTTATTTTTTTCAAAAGTATATAGCTGGTAATATCTTTTCTTTAAAAAAAAATGTATAGTTTGTTTTGTTTTGTTTTATGGCATATTAACCTCAATGTGTTATTTAATGCTGAGAAGATTTTTATTTCTGGTAATATTTTTTTTCAAATAATTATTGATGATACTAATTTTTGGAGGGGTGTTAACTATTTGCCCATAGCTGGGGCCCTAACAGGTGCTACCACCCCGTCAATTAAGAAGTGGTTCCACGCTCCTCAAAACCTCCTGATCAGAGGCCTTGCTGTTGGACGTAGTTTATCGTCTTACCCAGGACGCGGATGTAGTTTATCGTCATACTCAGGACTGTCTAGAGAGATTTGTGTAATTCACAAATCTTGACTTGAAATGAACATTGTTTTAATTTTCTTAGTGCAATTTTTTTTTTTTGGTTTTAATTAAACAATTTGTTTTTTGTTTTTTTTCTTGTACATATTTTCTGTAATTTAAACATACTGTTTTCGTTTAATTTTTTAAAAGTTGTAAAATTTAATTTAAAATTTTAATAAAAGTTGTAAAATTGATGCTTGTGAAAGAATAGATAAAATATTGTTTTCGTCAGTTCAACTCTAGCCAGATTTCTGTAATTCACAAATCTTGACTTTCTCAAGGACAGAATTTTTTTTTTATTTTTAATATTTAAGATCAAAAGATTGATTTACAAGTTGTATATTACCGTAAAACAACAACAAAACGTACATTGTAACCAGATTTTTGTTAGAGCAATGGGATGACGGGTAGCTTCTCTTGTGCAATAGACTGGCAGAGAGTAACGAGGTCAGGCGTGTGGACGCTTCACTCAGTGATGATACGATCAAGGAACAATGCACCGTAATGCGTATTCTGTAAGCAGTAGGAGTCACACAATCATTTTTAACGAAAAATAGAACAATATAATACGCTTACAGAAACCTACGACTGTTTGTTATGTCTCAATATATAACATACAAGCACAGTGCCACAATCAAAAAGGGGAGGGTGCGATAAATCAGAGATTAAGTTTTAAAGACACCTGATCCTATATTTTTTTTACAGGATCTTTCCATGAAATGAACAACACGAAATCTGTTCCAGTTTCATAACTGAATTCAGCATCTCTCATTTCATATGTGCTGCAGTTGGAGGCCATTGAAATCAAATGTGGGTCACTTCCTAGCAAATTGTTGTTCACACAAACAAATTCATACCATTGGTATTGTCTTCTACTACAACCAATCCTCTCAATGACAAATGACGATAGGGAATAGATGACGGGAGCAGGTTTTAGTGAAACTGGAAGATTCTCGTTCATAACTTGTACGTGGACAGTAATGTTACATCAATCCCGGTACGACGTTAATCTTGATCTCTGGTCGGGGTTTCTACAGCAGTGGCCAAACATACAAACACTTGCAAAGTGACCTAATCCCGTCAGGACAGTAACATATGTTATAATTTACGATTTTATAAAGTTTAAATAAATTAGCAATTAGCCGATGTTTTTTTCCAAAGAAACCTATAACCTTTTATTACAGCCCAATGTATAATATACAAGCATGGTCATACAAACAAAAAGGGGAGGGTGCGATAAATCAGTTTAAAGACATCTGATACTATATTTTTACCGGATCTTCACATGAAATGAACAACACGAAATCTGTTCCAATTTCATTACTGTATTCTGCATGTTTTATTTCATATCTGCTGCAGAAGGCGGCCATGAAATCTGATCCTTTCATGAACTGAAGATTGATTTAAATATATTATCTTAGTGTAAATTTTGTTTTGCTTTTAATTGAGCAGTAGTTATTGTCCTTAATTTTTTTATATAAATATGTATTGCTGGTATTTAATATATGCATAAAACTGTATATTAATAGTAGATAGGTTTTTTTATCGTCTGAATTCAAAATCATCCTCGGTCTTTTAAGCAGGAGTAGAGGTTTATCCCTTGTTTTCCGTTCCTTCTAAAATCTACTTCATCTCTATACTCCTGACGCTTTTAGGTGTTCCTATCGTCTGGTTCACACTCATCCCCGAGGTTTATTTAAATGTAACGTTAATAGCCATCTTCTGTTGACTTGAGCCTCGTTCTCCTTTTTATCTTTTCCTCATTCCCCCCCTTTATACACAGTATTTTCCCTCATTTTCACTCTTCGTAACCCCCTACGTGCTGCTTGCACTCACGCCTTGAAATGGTTAAAAAAAAAAGTAGACGTTCATCTTTTGTTTCCTGTTTATTATTGGCTTTCCCGTTACCCACAAAATCTATTTTACCTCTATACTCCTGACGTTTGTAGGTGTTCCTATCGTCTGGTTCACACTCATCCCCGAGGTTTATTTAAATGCAACGCCAACCGCCATCTTCTGTGGCTTTGATCCACGTATTTGCCCTTTGTGTGTGCGTGTATGTATCTGTGTCCGTGTGTGTCTCAAATTCTTTCTATTCCTATTTATCTGTAATTGCCGCTACATCTACATATCTATTTATCATTTAAATATATGCATAAAACTGTATATTAATAGGAGTAGATAGGTTTTTTTATCGTCTGAATTCAAACTCATCCTCAGTCTTCTAAGCAGGAGTAGAGGTTTATCCCTTGTTTTCCGTTCCTTCTAAAATCTATTTTACCTCTATACTCCTGACGCTTTTAGGTGTTCCTATCGTCTGGTTCACACTCATCCCCGAGCCCCGAGGTTTATTTAAATGCAACGTCAATCGCCATCTTCTGTGGCCTTGAGCCACGTATTTGCCCTTAGTGGGTGCATGTATGTATCTGTGTGTGTATCTGTGTGTGTGTGCGCGTCTCAAACTCTTTGTCTCTATTTATCTGTAATTGCCTCCTTATCTACATATCTATTTATCATTTAAATATAGACATAAAACTGTATATTAATAGGAGTAGATATTTTTTTTATCGTCTGAATTCAAACTCAACTCCGGTCTTTTAAGCAGGAGTAGAGGTTTATCCCTTGTTTTCCGTTCCTTCTAAAATCTACTTCCCCTCTATACTCCTGACGCTTGTCCTTTCTTACTTCAAGACACCTCCACACAGTAACTGTCTACTTTGAGTGGCTCTTGGGCCTTGTATTGGGTGAACATTAGTAATAAATAAATAAATGTTTCGCAATGAAAAATTGAACAATATAATGCCCTTAAAATCCCTACAACCTTTTATTACGACCCAATATATAATACACAACCATTCTATATTTTTTACCTCATGAAACAGACGTTGTTTTAAAGACACGGTGGAGTAATGGATAGCGGCTCGGATTGAGGAATCAGAGAGCCGAGTTCGAATTCCATTCTAATCCATTACATTCCCTTACGGATCCTTAGGAAAGGTATGAACCCAGCTATGGGTAAATAGCAGGACAGTACGGGTTCTATAGCCTTGGATGGCAACTGATCTGCCGCAGGTAGAAAGGCAACCTACTGCGAGAAAAAAATCTGCCTCGTCAGTCGTGTATCGAAAGATACATGATCGCCTAAGCGTGTATCACGCATAGCACATAACTGAATTGATCTTGGTGTAAATTTTGTTTGGGTTTTAATTAAACAATTTATTTTTACTTTTCTCTTGTATATATTTTCTGGAATTTAAACTATATATTGTTTTCTTTTCATTTCTCTTATAAAAGTTTTAAAATTAATGTTTCAGAAAGAATAGGTAAAATATTGTTTTCAAATTTATTTTGAAAATTAATGGCGGTCATGATTTTATGCAAATGATACATCTTACTCAATAGCGTTGTTATTGAATGAGGTCAAGAGGTTAAATTTCTTCTTCAGGTTTGTTCGCAGTTTTGGTAAAACTTGTGGGTGGAGTTGATACGGGCTCTTCTTCTTCTTCTTAAATGGGCCATGTCCCTCAAGGACAAGGGTGAACATGGCTCTCCACACTTTCCTGTCCTTTGTAGGCCTGAGTAAGTTTTGTCTTTTTACTATCTCTTCCAATACCTGTTTTACCAACCATCTTCAAAAAACCCTCCTTATTCTATGTGCCATGTCCCACAAGGACGTGGGCGATCATGGATCTCCACAATTTCCTCTCCTTTGTAGTTCTTAGTAAGTTTTGTCTTTTTGCTATCTCTCCTAATCCCAGTTCTGCCAATAATTTACACAATTTCGTTAGGAATGTCATTCGTTGCTTTTCTCTAAAGAAATACAAGTGTAAAATTAATAATGGTTAATAATGTTCCATATAATAAAAATTCAAGATAATATTTCTGCTAAGACGTTCAGATGAAAAGCAAATGGAATTAAAATGATAAATGATCGCCAAACTAAAAAAAAAAACTATAGACATTTTATCCGCGTATTAAGTTTATATAAAAGTTGTAGAAGTTAAGTTTTCGCAATGAAAAATGGAAGAATGAATTTTTTTTTGATTTCTCTTGAACATTTCAGGTTGTAATGATTTTAGTCGAATAATAGAATTTAGCCCAATTTTTTGTGTCATAGGTTGAGACAAAAACGAATAATCGCTAGCTAAAACATCAGCAGATAGCTATTAATGTCAACACCTGAGCACAAATAGTTATTAATTAAAAAAATTAGTAATTAATGTATAATGTTATCCATAATTTCATAAGAATGTTGTTTTTGATAAAAGTTAAAAAAATAACCATAAATAACTAAAAAATTCATATAATGTCGAAAATTCCTTTTTCCACAATATAGCCTTTTGTGCAATGTCTTAATCCTATTACCTAAACAATAATAATAATGAATAATGTTTTAAAGATTAAAGTATATTTAATCTCCCTAATAGATTTCGCGATCTGTGAATAAGCTGATTTAAAAAAGAAAAAAAATCGCGGTTTAATAATTTCTTTAATTTAATTTAATTTTATAGGATTTATGGTAAAAAAAATATTTTTTTAAGAACATTTCTTTTTTTTTCTTTTTTAACAGCGAAGAATACATTCTTAGGATTTCTTACTCTTGAGCATGCATCATATAACTGGCTATGCTTAAGTATTTCTTTCTGAAGCCAAATTTCGAATTTTGAAGCGCTTGACCTTGTGAATTGTTTATAGTTCTCGCAAACGCAGGCGGAACTAGAAACTGAATTCTTGTATATAAAAACTTAATGAAAAGATATGCAAAAACAATATTGCATTTTTATTAATAAAAAAGTACAGACCTCCGTCGATTAATGGGCTTTCGAGTAGTGCGCTAAAATCTTAAGATATCAAAATTCGATTTGTACATACATAATACTCGATTAGTGCGGTAAAATATTCTTCAGTTTAAACAAAGTAATTAAACATTTTTTTTATAGTTACCGATGTACACATTAACTGCACTAATCGAGGGATTTCTGTATTTGTTATTTTAATCACTACGTTGTTTTAAAATATTGGGAGTCTTTTGTATGTTAAATAATAAAAGCTAATTTTTCCCAAAAACTAATGAAAATTTATTGTACTAAGCTACGTATCCAAATAAAACAAGCTGTACTCTATACCCGCTTACCTTTTCGAACTTATACCCAAAATTTAGTTTCAATCGTTCAATGTATGGCTGATTTAGAGGCTGTGATGGACGGACGGACGGATGAACTAAGGAAAGTCACAGAATTATATATATATATATATATATATATATATATATATATACAATTCTCAAAATGTATGTGTGTATGTATGTGTGCGTGTGTATGTGTTTGTGTTTGTGTGTGTGTGTGATCGGATGTTGTTTATGCGTTTCCACAGTTTCCATCCAATTTCGATGAAGTTTTTTTTGTTTGAAAAATAATTCTTCAATGCTGGTTTCGTGCCCAAATTGTCTGGAAAATGTTCCAAACTTGAAGGTGGAAAATCGAAAAAAAACTGATTTTTTACACTTTGTGCAAAAATGAAAGTCAAAGCTTAATGTCTCTCTAAAAAAAAAAAAAAAGAAAAAGAAAAACAATGTACAATCAATTTAGATAGTTGGAATCTATCGCAAAAGATTATTAGGTCTATAAAAAAAAAATTATATAAATAAAAATTATTGTGTATTATTATTATGACTGTCCATGGAAGACGTTCGTTCCTTGCAAAATAGAGAACGCAAAAACGGACTTTTTCAGTGCCACCTCCCTTTAAATTGTTACTCCACACACTTCAGTGCTTCAGTTACCAATATTGATTTTTAGGAGGGAGATCTTTAAACTTAAATTGTTCCAATTAAACGGGAAAATTTCCCAGTAATTCCTGGTCGAAGATGGGTTATACTGCTAGTATATATTTTCTAAAATCTGGCTCTGCTCAGGTAAAATGTTAAGGAAGTAATTCAGTGTTGTTATGCAAAAACTGTTACAGAAGCTAAACTTTTGCAATAGCTATAAGATAAATGTATCTTTTTAAATTTGTATTCTAAACTCCTTAAATAGAAATTCTTGTGTTTTCTTTCGCAGTCTATTTAGTATTTAATTATATCCAGCAAGTTACATTAAGAGTAACAATAGAAAAATTGCTTTAACTCATAATTCACAAATTATGCTTTATATTTTCAGAGTTTGAATAGTTTTCCTAACTGGAAAACTATCCTTAAACATTAGTGTTTTTTTTTTCCCTAAAAAGAAAGATTACTGAGTTCTTTTCCAGAGGTTTTTTTTATATTCCGTCGGTTCAAAGGTCAGGAGATTTGAATAGAATAATATATGAATATACGTACATAGAATTCTCATATTGACTGTATTGTACGGGGAGTACTTAAATATACATACAGACATATACATATATATATATATATATATATATATATATATATATATATATATATATATATATATATATATATATATATATATGTATTTATTTATGTATATATATATATATATATATATATATATATATATATATATATATATAAATATATATATATATATATATATACTTATTGTACGGGGAGTACTTAAATATACATACAGACACACACACACACACACACACACACACACACACACACACACACACACACACACTCATTGGCCCCACTATTTTCCTTATTTTCATCAATGACCTTCCTGAAGCTATAGATTCCCAAGTCGGCATCTATGCAGACGACACTACAATTTACTCCTGCCTCAAAAACAAATCTAGTGTCGGCGACAAAACTAACCTTGCCGTGCGTCTTGAAATGGACCTCCAATCGGTTGTTAACTGGGGCAAGAATTGGCTGGTCAACTTTAACGCCACAAAAACTAAATTACTCCCCATTAACCACCATAGAGCATAGAGATCCTTCCCTGCCCCCCATTAAAATGTCTGATAGTCAACTTCCTGAGAGCAACTCCCTGCGTCTGCTCGGTCTCACGCTGACTGCTGACCTGAGATGGAACAAATACATTGAGTCAATTGCTTCTTCCACCGCGAGGAAAGTTGGCTCTCTGTGCCGCACCAGGAAATACTTCAAATATACAAAACAACCATTCGCCCTTGCATGGAGTATTGCTGCCATATATGGGCTGGAGCACCTTCTGCTTACCTCGGAGTTCTTGACAAGATCCAGAGACGGATATGTAATCTAATTGGCTCTGATCTAGTGTCTTGTCTGCAGTCACTCTCTCACAGACGCGCCGTCGCCTCTCTCTGTCTTTTCTACAAATACTTCCATGGTAACTGCTCTGATGAGCTGCTCTCTCTGGTTCCCAGACTCCATAAATTCAAGCGCCCTACGAGGCTGGCATCCCGCTCTCACCCTTACACCGTAGAAACCTTCAAATGTAGCCGTCTCTTCTACTCCAATAGCTTCATACCTCGCACCTCTCGCCAGTGGAACACCCTCCACAATTACTGTTTCCCTGAAAGCTATAATCTCCAACTATTCAAATGTAATGTCAATCGACATCTCCAATTACCTTAATCTACCCACTATCCTTCTCCTCTTCCTTTCTCCTATCACTCTTATCTGCTCTCGCTCCAAATCTTCCGCAACCCCCTGCATCCTAGTGGCATCACGCCTTGCTTGGGGCACCATGTTAAATATATATATATATATATATATATATATATATATATATATATATATATATGCGTGTGTGTGTCTGTATGTATATTTAAGTACTCCCTGTACAATAATATATATATATATATATATATATATATATATATATATATATATATATATATATAATTATTTATTGAAAATTATGATTCTGACTCGCAACACGAGCGTGTTGGAATGATATTTTTAAATAAATAATTATATTTATGCTCTACTTTTGTATCGAGCACTATTTTTTAAAATAATAACAAAAATACTAAAGAACTTTGGATTATTTACCTAACGAGTTCTTTCCTATTTTCTATATATTTTTCACACACACACATATATATATATATATATATATATATATACATACATATATATATATAAATACACACACACACACACACATATATATATATATATATATATATATATATATATATATATATATATATATATATAAATTCTTTAGTAAGTCAACGTCCTTCGCCAGATTTTTTCATCATTCCTTTAATTCGCGAAAAAGCTCTTCTTCTGCGTTAACTTTTCTATTACTGGTACGCTTGTCCATTATCGCTCAAAGGTTTTCAGATGGGTTATGATCAGGATTCTGACTAGGCCACAGGAAGAGTTGCAATTTACCCTTTTCGCGCTTCCTCTCTAGATAAATTTTATTCTTTAAGGCAGTATGCTTAGAAACGTTATCATGTTGGAACTTGAAGCATTGACATTGGGCAAAACGTTTTTTAGCAGAAAGCCACATTTGTTTAACAATAATTTCGTGGTATTGAGACTGGTCTATAATTCCCTTGATTTTGTACAAATTATCAACTCCTGATGCTGAGAATGCACCCCAAATGTTGATTTTTTTTTCATCGTATTTAACAGTGCCGTTGGTAGTCACTAGAATATTCGTTTCACCAGACGTACACGAAGCACGTATTTTTCCTTCATATCTCAGAGCAAAGGAGCTCTCGTTACTCCAGATAACATCTTCCCAATCAGATTTAGTCCAGAGTAATTGAGCTTTGCACCAAGTCAACCGTGCCCGTAGATTTTTTTACAGATATGAAAGGTTTCTTTTTTTATGTATTTTGAAACAATGTTTTTTGCTTTAAGCCTGCATCTGACTGTTCTTGAAGAAACCGCCAAACTAGCAGCTTTGGAAACATCTTGTGTTGTTGTGAATCGATCTTTTTTGCATTGACGAACCAAGTTTCTATCTTTCCTTTTGAATGTGATTTCTCTTCAACGGAGGCTTCGATACAGGTTTGACTGTTGTTGCTATTTCCCTCAGATACCGACACCGAGTACTTTTAGACACAGTAGGATTCCCAGTGCGACTGAAAAGCTCTTGACTGGTAAGTCCAGGGTCCTTCGTGGCTTCTCATTTAAGTCGTGACATGAGACGACGTGAAAGAACCTTCGGCTTGCCTTTATCTGCCATTTTGCGTACTTGTGTCGGGTCGGCGGTGAACTTTTTTTTTTTGATGACACCTCCCTATCATTTTATAAATTTCTAGGGTATATTTAACCTTTTGAGAGTTCTGAGGTGATAGTTTTCTTTTCAGCATCACTTAAACTGCTTTTACGACCCATCTTTTCACTAAATTCTTACACTTTTCTAATAATTTGGCACTCTCAAATCACCGTGCTGATAACAAATACGGCGCCAGTTTGTTTACATTGCGCATATCAGTACGAAAATTTCAGTGATTACGCAGATCTGTGTTGCCAACATTGTGTGAAAATTTTGTGTGAATTGATTGGAGGGTTTTTGAAATATTAGAAAAAAGTTAACTCGATAATAATTTGGCACGCAGTATATATATATATATATATATATATATATATATATATATATATATATATATATGAGATATTGTTTTAAATTGTTGTGAATTTGAGTACAAACACGTGCGTAAATACGAAAGTTAATTTCGTTCTTCGGGCATGTTTAACAGTTAATATGAGCATATATTTGCTTATGTAAGGCAATACGTTTATGCTTCTTTTTTTATATATATATATATATATATATATATATATATATATGTGTGTGTGTGTGTGTGTGTGTGTGTGTGTGTGCGTGTGTGTGTGCCTGTGTATGTGTGGTAATCCGTTTGTATAATCTAAGCAAGTCCTGTTAACACAATATAGAATTTTAAATATTAAATGTAAAAAACTGACTCACAAAGAGAGCTCAGTGTTTATTTTCATTAAACAGAGCAAATTATGTCACATAATTAGAATTAAGATATCATTAGTGAATGATCATTTTCACTCGCGAATTTAGAATTTGAAATTTTCAGGGTTTCTCAAACTGTTTATCGTTGACACCATAAACAGTTCCAATTGTATGAAATATATAGTAGAGAAAAATGTATGAAAAAGTGGGAAAAAAAAACAACTTTTCATGTTATGCATTTCGTTCTTCACTACTTCATCGGAGTCAATTTGTTATGTTGCTGCTCACGAGTGAAGGATGCTGGGAATTTTAAATTTATATTTACAGTAATTTAACGCTCTGGCTCTTACAACATTTCACTATTTCTGACAGAACTTATATTATCACAATGTGGGATATCTGCTAACAAAAGTGGTGGAAAGAAAAAGAAAAAAAAATAATCTAAATGGAATCGGTTAGATTAAAAAACAAACCAACAAAAAAAAAACAAACATTTAAAAATTTAAAATTTCATGTTCGAACAGTCCCGGAATTTACACTTTCCTTACTAAGAGACTCGAAAACGAAAGATGGCGTATATAAAAAAAATATAACAAAGCATGTCTTCTCAATCAAGTATATCAAGTAAATATTCGGCTTTACATGACCCATGAGGTGTTGATGAGCCGTAAAACACTAAACATGAAATGCAAACTAATAAGCAATTATATAATTTTTCTTTTTTTAATTGAATTCACCTCAAGCAAGGTAGTAAAGCCACTAAGACACAAATGGTTACTGGGTGTGAAAGAATTAAGAAACAGAAAACATTATGAAGAAGCTGGAAAAATCAGGAATACACAGATACTGACTGACATTGCCTTTAAAATTTTCAAAAGTCAAAGTTGGCCGGAGAGCATGGAGCCAGAAGAGAGTTCCACATGCGAGAAGTGCGAAGAAAAAACCTGTTAGCATAAGACTTACATGTACATCGAGCCAATGCAACTATATATCGATGGGACCTTTCCTCCAATCTAGTACTGCGCTTAAGTTCATAATCACTATGTACCATAAAAAAAGTTCATCGGAATTTTCCTTCCGAATCGACATCCATCTGATATTTACTGGAATAAATAAAAAGTAGTTGAAGCTTAACGATACTTTTCATTCCATTATCAGTATAAGAAAAGAGTGTTGAAATGCTATGTAATATCTAATTTCCTCTATGGTAATAAATGCTGGCCAATTTCCTTACAGACGAAGAATAAACTTGAAGCCATGCTAAGAATACCATAAATCAGAGGTGGCCAACCTTTTGATTCCATGCGCCAATATTTTGTACTATTTATTTAAATGCGCCACACAAACATTCACTTTATTTCAGTACGTGCTGTAATATGGACATATTTTAAAGTTTTTTTTTTTGTTTTTTGTAAGCGTTTCACCCCAAGCAAGGCGGGAAGCCACTAGGACGTAAGAGGTTACAGAAAATTTGGAGCAAGATCAGATAGGAGTGATAGAGGAAAGGACGAGGAGAAGGATAGTGGATAGATCAAGGTAATTGACATTACATTTGAATAGTTGGAGATTATAGCTCTCAGGGAAACTGGAATAGGGAATGGAGTTCCACAGGCGAGAGGTGCGAGACATGAAGCTATTGGAGAAGAAGAAACGGCTACATCTAGGAGTTTCGAGAGTGAAGGGGTGAGAGCGGGATGCCAGCCTCGTAGGGCGCTTGAACTCATGAAGTCTGGGAACCAGCGAATGCAGCTCCTCGGAGCAATTGGCATGAAAGTATTTGTAAAAAAGACAGAGAGAGGCGACGGCGCGTCTGTGAGAAAGTGACTGTAGACGAGATGCCAGAGCAGGGCCAATTATATTGCATATCCGCCTCTGGAGCCTATCAAAAACCCCGAGGCAAACAGAAGGGACGCCAGACCATATATGGCAGCAATACTCCATGCAAGGGCGAATTGTTGATTTGTAGATCTGGAGGATCGACTCCGGGGAGAAAAATTTCCTGGCGCGGCACAGGGAGCCAACTTTTCTTGCGGTGGACGAAGCAATTGACTCAATGTATTTGTTCCATCTCAGGTCAGCTGTCAACGTGAGACTGAGCAGCCGCAGAGAGTTGCTCTCGAGAAGTTGAGCGTCAGACATTCTTAATGGAGGGCAGGGAAGGATCTCTGTGGTGATTAATAGAGAGCAGTTTCGTTTTTGAAGCATTAAAGTTGACCAGCCAATTCCTGCCCTAGTTCACAAAATCTATTTATTTGAAAATATATGCTTATGACCAGAGGCGTATCCAGGAGTTTTGAAAGGGGCGGGGGCCATCAATCAATGCTTTGCCTTTTTTTTCTCTTCAGATTTTGCAGGGGGGGGGAGCATGGCAGAGTTTATAATGTTTACATAGGTTAGTTCAGCATTCAGTCAACCAATGGACAACGTCAGCATTTTTAACAAAAAGAAATGGGACAAACACAAATCAAACTTTTAGCACATCGCAAAGGACGTGCAATAAATATAAAATCTCTGAAATGAATGCCTAGAAGTGGCTTAGTTTCTTTTCATCAAAAGGATGCGATGCGCCACTTGTAAGCATCTAATACGCCACTTATGGCGCATGCGTCACGGGTTGGCCATCCTTGCCATAAAGAGAATATATGACAAATATGGAAACTCGATAAGTAAGACATTTATTGCTTTCCCTGTTCTTCACTTGTACCAATAAGGCTTCCGGCCATATCACGTTGAAACATTGGTTCTCGTTCAATCAAGTAAGTTAAGTAACATCGAACCTCATTAGTAACTCGATGCAGTGGCCGTTTACAAATACCAGGTTCTTTGAGCATGATTTTGATTTTGTTTAGCGGCATATCAGCCTTTTTAGGTTATTTAATGCCGAAACCTAGATAATTTAAACACAATTTTATCGTTTCAAATAAATATATTTTGAACGCAATTGCCTGTCTTCAACAACAGTTTAAATGTGTTCTGTTCACGTATTGTCGGTCTTTTTTATATAAAAATGCATTGATGGTATTTTTTACTATTAAAATGTATTTTTATACTTTTATAGTATTTTTTTTACGGTGGGTGGCTTTCTATTTGCCCATAGCTGAGACTCTAACAGGTTCTACCACCACGGGTCAGAGTGAACCTAGAAATAACAATTAAGATGTGCTTCCAGGCTTCGCAAAAACTCTAATCACCCAATGAGAAGCGTTGCTGCTGGATGTAATTTATCATTACACTGCTGAAACAGGTGATCGAAAATGTGACATAGAAATTTGAATGTGCTTATAAACAGGGAAAGAGGCCTTCCAGAAACTAAGTAAAGTATTTAGAGATGGGAAAAGAGTGCTGAAATGCTATGTAATATCTAATTTCCTATCGACTTGGGTATGACGATAAACTAAATCTAGGAAGAGAAGAGATTGATTCATACCTTTGTAAAGGGTATCAGCGCATATGTAAATAAAACAAAGTCGGCTGAAATTCGAACATGCCTCTCCAATTTCTCATTCTCGAGAAAAGTAAATCAGTTTCTCATAAATTACTTGTTATGGTGTTGTTTTTAATTTTCAGATAGGAAGATTACAAGATGGTCTTAAAATCTTCTTAATGACTGTAGAAATCCACTGCGAAAAATCAAACTGGATTGTCGGTGGTCAGAATTTCAGAAAAGTGTTGATGTCATAAGTGCTATTATATATGTAGCCTCGAGGTTATTTTAAACCTAAGAGAATCATTATTAATTTAATGTCACTCTTTATCACGAAAGAAGCCAGAGTTTTTATTATCAAATGACAAATTGCTCGGCGCAGAGCACGCGACGACTCATCTCGTGTTGCGTTG